TCAAAGAAATGTTCCATTCTCTGTCTCTGCCCTGTTGACGTCGATAAGAGACAAGACCGGACGAGCCCAACCGAGGCTACGCGAGACAAGACGATACGAGACGAGTGCAACCGTCTGTGGGGTGCACAGCGCTTCGATGGGGAAATGCAAGATTGCAGATGGACCCGTAGAACCAAAGAGGCATCCATTTCATCGCTTCTGTCGACGATGTATTTTTCAACGAGCAGTGTCGTTCGGACGCTTTTCTCAAGTTCCAATTCTTTCGGCGACTTGCCCAGCCCAACTTGATGCTAAAATGGCCCCTGCATTCCCCGAAGGTAACCTCTCGACGCAAGTCTGGATTACCTCGGAGAACGGAAAGTGTGATGATTGGCGGGGTGTCAAGTCGGCGGGGGACCAGCTACAGTAGTGTATGCAGACTGAGAAAGATGCTGATAACTGGTGATGGGGCGGACCAGTTTTCCCCTAGGCGTCCGCATGAGCACCGGTAGACATGGCCAGTAACTGAGATCAGGGTGTTGGTGTTGATTCTTTTTCCCAAGTGCCGAGCTGGGCAAATAATAGTGCCTTTGCCCAGGTTCGTCATGCTTGCTGTTGATACAAAAGTCAAGTTTGATCAACGACAGGCGCCAAGCTTCCAGACACTGAGAATCATGGAAGCGATTTTCCATGGCCAAAGCGCCGTGGTTCCCCCACATCACTAACTGCAAACGGGCGCTTGGTGCTACCGACGCCTGTTCGGCCGTTATTTGCGTGTTCGCGTCTTTCTTCGTAGCGTACAGAGCACTACCGGAGCTTCAGGACGGGCCCGACTCGGCACGTCCCCAGTTCGTATATCTCCGAGACTTCCAGACGTCCTCCGTCCGTAGCCATGACCTGTCACGACCAACGCAGGTAACCGAGGCATCTCGACCTTGAATCCTTGAAGAATGCGACGTGAAGCTCATGGAGGTGACAGCATGATCCTCGGCAGAGAGCTTCTCCGGCGTGTTGTTGTCAAAGGACAGTGATGAGAGTGGCATCTGCTGCTCCAAGACACGCACCCACGAAGGGCCACACGATGCTCCCTGTAACCCCTGACTTATATTAGCCCAATTAAAGGGAGCAGTGGGTGATCTTGCCGTCGTCCGTCGGGTGTTGTCGTCTGGGCCCCGGCCCCAGGATGTGACATGGGATCTGATCAAATCTTGTTGATGCTCGGGTGGCCCCAGCTTGCGTCTTGGGGATCGACGTCCTGCACGATGTTACCCTCTTTGGCTGGCCCACGGGCATGTCGCACCAGACCCAACAAGGAAATCAATTAAAGTTTAGGGGTTGATGACTTACACGTACTTTATCTTGACTTCGCGCCCACCCACCCCCAGATATCCGCGCTAGAAATCCATACTGTGGAGGATAATGCCTCCCCTTCCACATGATGCTTCCACAGGTGTTCATTGCGCCGGACGCGCACCGTTGTGCGTGCTTTCATCTCGAGGTCTGTGCCTTTTTCTCTGCCAGGACATCCTGTAAAGAACAGCACCGGCGTGGAAAATGCTAAGGAGCCACTGGGGTGCCAGGGGGAGCACCACCATGACGGAACAGCATGCCACGCCCGCAATTTGTGCGCGCCGTGGAGGGGCGATCTGCCGTCCAAATGAGAGTTCGCAGCACACGGTTTACCGACCTGTACCTGCCTCTATTGGGGCAAAGCAATCAGATTGTTGGGCGAACTCCTGCCGCACATATGCGCGTGAGTTGGGATGACGAGATTTGTGTGCTCAAACCGATGGAAGATGTTCGTGCTGTGTAACCAGCTTCCAATCGACTGAGACACCGTCTGCAGCTTTCATTGGTCGATTTTTGTGATTCGCTCCTGCGTGCTCCGGAGCTCTGGTGAAGTGCCATACTGGGAGTGGTGGGGTGGTTCAACCACCCTCAGCAATCCGACCTGATTTTTGTTCCGAGCTTCCAAGGTTGGTGTAGGTGGTCGGATGCTTCTAGGTTCCCTCCTCAGCAACCCGGAATCCCCTCTCATCCTGAGACGGCCGCCGACGTTGAGGTCTGACTCCCCGGAGAGGGCCCGGCTGTCCACCGTCGCCGTGCTTCGGAAATTTTGTGACGGCGGGGAGATCAGATAAAAGCGGTAAGGCTAATGTTAGCGCATGTAGGGGACAGCTGCTCGGCACGCTCACGGCGGCTCCAAAACGGAAGAATGTGGCCACGGGATGGGCCTTCTCTTGATTGTGGGTGGGAGCTGCTTCTCATTTAGAAATCCACCCGCCCAAACGGCTCGCTTCCCGAGTCGAGCGTGCTGCAGGCAACGCATTGCCTGGCCGAATTGGGAGGGGCATGATGTGTAACTCAAAGACCGGATGAAATGTGATGGACACCGGGACATTGGAAAGATCAGACGACTCGGTTAGGGCGAGGTTGGCAGAGAGGAGAGAGGGGTGCACCGGTAAATCTTCGAGGAACCCCCGCCCACGCCGTCGGGAATCGGGATCCGTACGATAGCGGCCTCGCTGCCAGGATGGGGGCAAGGTGGGTACAGCAAAAAAGGTGTAACCGCCTAGCACTGCAACGCAAACGGTCACTAATGTAGCAGATGATGAAAAGATGCAAAGAGGTGTAAAGACTTTTCTTTGAGGGAGACGAAGAGCAAAGCGGAGATAAGCGTACCTATAGCATCGTCGATAACGCCCATGATCACCGTCAACCCAAGACAAGACCCCCTCCAAACTTGACACAGCATGAACTCGGGAGATCCTTGGTGATGCTGTTGACGAAGGAGATTAGATCAGACTGTACACGATGGGTACACCACCTCGCCGTGGACCTGAGCGAGATGTCGTCACAGCGGGCTGCTGCAGGTGCATATCCGCACACCCCATTTCTTCCAAAGCTGAAGAAAAGAACTTTTGATGTGCCCGTGGCGCTGACACATTCGAGGCACGGCCATGTAGGGTTTCAGAAGGGTGCATGTACTGGAGGTCAGCCTTGCACATATCACCCTCTAAATTGGTCCTGCTCGATAAAATACCTCACGACGTGCCACATCTGGGGTAATTCCTGTCAAAAGCTGCGCGCCAAGATGAGGAAGTTGAGGTAACTCTTAATTACATTGATATTATTACCACAAGAGCATGCCACCACGGTGCCTTTACCAGTCTCCCAGTGCACTGCTGTACGGGTTTTTGGTAGCGGCACCTAGGTTGTCCCCCCCCCCCCCCCCCATGCTCTGGTGCCCGGGTCCTTGTCAGGGGAGCTCGTGCTTGCCGGCATACCCCTCCAAGATCTCATGTTGGTGGTTCCTTCCGTCCTGGGACCGAAATGTCAAATTCTAACGGCAACTGTGACCCAGCTGTCGATAACCGGGGCAAGAACGGCCGTCCTACCCGTAATACTGGAAGGAGCAATCCATCACCTGAGCTGTCACCCCAGATTACTCCGTATCTACGTACACTACTCTTCCCCGGATCGGCTCCCAGCGAGACAGGAATAGCTTTACTCACGTCTGGGTCCCTCCTCATCTCGCGCCAGCGGATCAAGATCATCGACATCCGGCCCCACCCCCGTCATCTCGGCGGCACTCGGAAGATAGCTCTTGTGGGCCCCTGTTGCGCATCCGTTCTGGATTTCCGGGGCAGGCCAACTCCAGACGGGAGTCTTGATACGGGACACGGACGCGTTGATGAACGTGCGAAGCTCCCTCTCTCTCTCAAATCTCAGTGCTGTCACTAAAAGAGACGATACAGCGGAGCGGCCCTGGGCCAATCGACGTCTCCCATCGGCGACCCGTCTGCATGGTGCGTTACTGGGTGCGTTGCCCAGCGTTCGGTTCCAACTGTCTGCAACGGCACTGGTGCACTGCTACCCAGTCTAGCTGTCGGTCATATTATATATGGTCAGCATACTGAGCCCGGAGGCACCCAGACGCCCAAAAAGTACTTACCCATTCCCTCCCACCGCAGCGACTGGGCTCGTTCTCGATTTTGAACCCTCCCCTCCCCCCCTCCACTGTCTGTGCCCTGTAACAGCCCTGAGATGACCGGGGGGTTTGCTGGCATTGTGGTTTACCCTTCGATTTGCAGCCATCCATAACCATCCACCTACCAGGGTGACCTGCCTACGACTATCCCTGCTCCGTCTGGCCCCATCTCAAATGCGCCGTTGCTCTTCTTTAAGTCGCACAAAAACCACCGGCTTCCACTGGCTCCAAATCTCTCCTTCAACCGACCGACTCTCACTAGCCGCCCAGCCTGAGAGCAGTATCACCGAGCATCGATATATACGGCACGACGACCACCCGGCACCTGGCACCTCTCCAGCACCTTGGGCACCAATCCATACGCGCGCCTTTTCACGCCTCCAGCTCCCCAGACGACGAACAGGGTGACGATACACTTCTTCTGCAGCTCTCCGATAGTCTTCCTCCAATCTTCGGTCATCTGGCGCAGAGCACTAACACGGTTGTGCGCGCTGTGCTGTGATACTCGATTCACCAGGACTCCCCATACCGGGAATCACCCTCTGCGTCATCGCTTGTCTGACAACCAGGCCTCCTTTCTCGTGCGTCTGCAGCCGACTCCTTCTCCAGTAAACAAGCGGCCGGTTCAGTTCGGCCGGATCCTGCTGTCGTCCATCCTCAAAAGGGGACCGCTGTCTTGGACCAAAGAAGAGGCGCCAAAGGCCCGCCTCCGAAGCACTTGCCATCTCGCCCCACGTCAGACTTTTGCATCTTTTCGAAAACATCATAAAACCTCTTTCAGGAGACCCGCCAAATATTCTGGCCCCCGAGGACACCGGGCAGTGACACTCTTGAACTTGGCTGCATCGGGTAATGTCGATCAGCGTCTCTGGATCTGGGGTACGGTCTGGAAGTTTGTCTCCCCAGGCGGAGACTTCCGTGAGACCATCGTGTTAACTGAGCTTACACCGACGCCGTCCTCATCGAAGCCCTCGAGCAGAGTTAGACGGTCCCCTTCCGGGCTCTTGGCTACGCCAAAGCCGCCTCCTCCATGCAGCGCAGCCATCCAGGTGACGACTCCTGGACACCTCTCGGCCAACGCCGAGGGATATCAGACCTGGCGCGATCCGCCTTGAGTCTCGACTTGCACTGGGTCAGGGCAGACACTGAAAGTGCTGCTCGTCAGAGGAGCTATCCCTCTCCCCCCATGTCAGGATCTCCATCGATCCCCCCTAAACTCAGCCAGGAGGCAGCCGAACGGGCGCAGGGAAGCTATCAGCCCATCACGCAGGATGTTTACCGTGGAATCCCAACATCACAAGGTCACGAAAGGGCGCAGGCGAGCAACATAGCCGGACCTTCTCGGCAGTTCCTCACCGATCCACCAGAACGAACCGCATATTCTTTCCCTCCACAGCAATCTGAGAGACCGGCACCTCAGCCTCTTACTTACTCCCATTTGTCCAGCCAGATCGGTGGACAACCAGGGCCGGCATATCTCCCAATCCCAGGCACAGGCAGTGCAGTTGGGCCATCGGGACAGCTAGCAGCTTCGCAAACCTATCCTTCAGCACTTCACTCACAGCTGCAAGATCCTCTTCAACATAGCTCTGCAAAGGCGAGGAAGACCAAGGGGCATGTGGCATCCGCATGTGTGCCGTGCAAGAAAGCCCACCTTCGGTTGGTTGCCCCGTCAAAACCTGTTGGCATTGCCTAAAGACACGAGACTGACAGCTTGCAGATGTGACCGTAGGTACCCAGAGCCCTTTCGCCCCGATTGATCACAAGAAGCAGGACAGAAATTGGACGCAGAGTGTGAGCAGGCATCGCCAACCCTGCGGCACCGCAAATGCGATCCCTGGTTTTGATTGACATGATATTGTTAACAATTCCGGGATTGTTTTAGGCGCGGCATCGACTAGCGCCTAGCACCAGTGTGATGCGGTATACCCCCATGAGCAATTTCTGTTTTTGGCACGGCATACTCAAGATGAGACGACCCACTAGGCCAGTGACGAATGGGTTGGGAACTCTTGGGCCGCCCGACTGCAGGAACGGGTGGAGGTGGTTCTCAAGCGGGTTCCATGCTGTTCCGGGCCCGGGTAGGAGAATGCAGATAATCCAGCATGCTTATGCGTGGATGAGCTCGCCGACAGTTGGCTCGCTACTGCAGCGCGGATGCTTGGTCCTGCGGCAAAACCGGGCCGCTGCCCTCGAGGTGTGGTGGGATTCCCGCAAATACACGGCCCGGACGCCTCTGTTTCCACCATCGTTTTAGCCATGGTGGCGCCGAGATGGGAGTGGGCTTTGTCGATGAGGAATTCCAACTGCTTGTCCTTTCTGTTCACCAAGTACTTCGAAGTTGCGATTAGAGAATCTGCTGACTGTTTTCACAGCGGAGCGACCTTGTAGCCGATGTGTCTCTCAAAACAAGGCCGATCAATGCGTCGACGTCCAGCACAAGAAGCGCGGGCGACCCCGGCTTCGAGACGACAACCAGACGAGATATGAAAGCGGGGGGAGGATGGGAAGTGCAGCAGAGGCCATGAGAAGGCCCTTGACATCCGTGTATGGCTCGGGTTCCACGATGGGTATGGTTCAAAGTGACAGTCTCCGACGCACTCAGTCGTATCGCGTGCTGAAATCTCAGCCAGCCGAATCAATCGCACCGAGATTCCTCGAACGAGGTTTGGCAGCTGATGCAAACGTTTTTCCAGCTCCCCTATCGATATCGACAACGAGGGTTCCCGAAGAACCAGTGGCATACTTGAGGGTTGTTGGCCTGGAGTTTTTGAAGGCATCGGCAACCTTCTACAGCGCCATAGGACGGCCGTCGAGAACGGGTTTCAAACTGCTGGAGGATGTACTTGCACCCGGTGATCGCGGCAAGGCCGAGAGAATTGACCGACAGACAAAGGAGGAGCAACGGAACAGAGAGATGGGACTGCCGGCCATGACGACCGTCGATGAGCAAGCCCACTTTGCTCAAAGACTCGGGTTCGGCGCAGATGACATTGCAAGATACCAGACAGACTGGAGGGTGGAGCATCTTACCTTTGAGGGAGAAGATGGTCAGCATCGACAATTTCCAACTCGATTTGGGCTGGTGAAGGAAGATTCGGTTTGGTTTGTCGTACTAATCCTCCAGATCCAGCCACCTAGACCATATCAGTACCCGACGCCCTCGCCGAACCCAAGAGACAACACGTATCCTTATCAGCCCACGCCCCTATCGTTTTCCCAGCCCACGCCCATGTCAGCGACGTTCGATCCGAGGCAATCAAGGCTAGGAGAGCCTTCGCCCTACGGAGCGAGGCAGCCGATGGCCATTGGAGCCCCGCCACCATCGATAATGACGGGAAGGAGCCCTGGCCTTCCCTCAGGTTACGTCCCATCTCCAAACAGGCCTAGCTACCCAGAAACGTCATCCTCCTACCAGGTACCCAGAAGCGAGATTCATCCTCCATCAAGTCGGCCGCCTCAGATGCAAGGGTACCAGCTTCCACCGTTGAACCTTGGGCCTTCCACGGGTCCTTCCCAACCGCAGCCACAAGAGAGGCAGTCTCGAGGAGATCGACCACGAGTTGATATTGGCGGTCTCCTTGATCACCCGGGTCACCCCAGGGATCCACCACCATCACAACAATGATGCTCATGATGAGATGGGCTATTCAAAGACCAGGATATGGGAGCGGCGGTGCGATTTGCCGTGGGATGTCAAAAGCATGTTGTTGATCATTTTTTGGTTAGCTCCGCAGGTTTGGATGCAAGTTTCGCCGGGCAGGAAATTTCGTGAAGTTGATCGCGCTTTCGAGTGGCTTTGCATAGATGATACCACTGTACAATTGGCAGAAGTTGTGGGCCGCGGTGCATTTTTGGGCGTTGGAATGTCTTTGTGGAGGATGTTTGGGGCATATGCCATTGTGTGGCACTTTTCTCTCTTCTTTTTTGTGACTTTCTGTTTCTCTTCTGTGTTCTTCTTCAGACTCATTTTTCGCTTCTTTTCATTCTTCGACATCTTTTGACTTCTCTTCTTTGAGCACCGCCGCGGCGGGCTTGGTTGTTGGCTAGGCGGCACCGGGCTTTTTTTCTTCTTGTATGGGATTGTTATCCCTTTTCAGGCAGGCGGAAGGGATGCCGCGCTTTTTTGGGGAAGGATTATCTTTGGTGAACTTTTCTTGTATGAACTATAGTGTGGTGGATAAATGCGGACATAGCGATTGGTACGTGTGAGTCGGAAAACCGGGAGTGGGAAAGGATATACTGGGAATTAACTGTCAATGTCTTGTTGGCTGTGTGCTTGGGAACTGTTTGTCGATGATGTTTGTTGTGTGTTGTGTGTATATGCTGCTGTCGTTTGGGTTGTTGTGAGAAGTGAAGAGGGGGGGGGAAGAGAACGAATGAGATGGCATGGGAGATTCGCCTATGTCGGGTCGACATGATCATCCCGGGGTTCCTTCCTTTCCCCTCTCGTATGTATGCTGATATGCGGCCCGTCTGGTAGGCCGGCCCACCATCACTCATTCCTTTGCAGATCCGGACGGTCCAGGCCCAGCATGGGATCTTTTTTGGGAAATGAAATAGGAGGTGCGGTTGCTAATCAATAGATGTTGACTCGGAGTTTCGGTAACATGGCTCGAATGTGTGGGTGGTGATCTGATGGTTGTGTGGGGCAACCGTTGTTGAGATGGGGGGACGTTGATTTAAGGTTGGTTTTTAGTCGACCGTTGGAAAGTTTGGCGGACCTCCTCCACCCGTTCCGCACATGCCACCTCTCCGTGCCGGGCCGTTGCTCAGGGGGAGGAGGGAATGGTGTGCCGACGGGACGTGCCGGTTGTGGGTACTGATCTGGGTCGTTGTTGAAGATCGCACACCCGGTGATGACGAGAAGGAATAGGAAGAAGTGCCCGGGGGGAATCAGACGACCATGGCGGCGGGTAGGTGTGTGTGTGTGTCGGATGAAAAGGGAAACGCCACATGTCTCTTCGCTTGGCCGAGGAGGGAAGGTCCTTTTTTTTTCGAGGTTTTGCAACCAAAGGGCCCTTTTAGGTCGTACCCGAAATACGCGGGTGGAAATAGATTGCGGTGCCTTGCTGCTGGCTGCTTGCTGACATGAATGAATCCTGAATGTCGGTTGTCGGCACTTGCTTCCATCCATCCATCCATCCATCCATCCATCCTTTTCCTTTCCCCCAACACATCGTTGACATAGGCAGTTGGTTTTTTGGTGACGTCGAAAGAGTCGAGAATTGGACCGCTGCCGGGTGGATTCTATGGGGACGGGTCAGGTATTAATATCGATAGCGTCAGAAATTCCAAATAGGAGATCGGGCTGGGTGAATCATGTTGTGGTCTCGCTCGGGTCTGGTTGAAGGAGACGGCCGGCTGGCTGGCTGGCGCTCGGTCGGTCGGTGTGTGTCGGTCGATCGGTGTAATGTGAATCACTTTTCTTTTCTTTTCCTCATCACCCGTGTTGAAGGCTTGGGGTGTTTGTGAGACCCTTTTCGCAAACAAGAAACGAAACGGGAAGAAACAAAAAAGTGAAGCAGAGAAAGGGAGGAGGAGGAAGGCATGAACAAGTAATGAACATTTTCAAGTAGCACCCAAAAATAGGGGTTTTTTTTGTTGCTCTCTGTCCAAGGCATATATATCAGACTTTCAACCATCCTGACATGTTATAATAACACAACATCCAAGCAGCATGAATAAAGCATGCCCGCCAAACCGCACGATCCCACCAACCCATCCCCGATCCGGCCACCCCAATGAAACGACAATTCCCAAAAGGAAAGAAACGTTGCAGCGGACCGCTTGGAAGGTTGCTTCTTTTGGCTTGGATCTTGTTTTTTTGGCCCGCTGGTTCAAACCGGTGAAAAGAAGAATGGAGTGCAGGGGATTGGTGCGCATGTGAAAAGAAAAGGGAAACCCCTTCAACTTACACTATATAAAATATCATCGTGATCGTGGAAGTTGCATCGGAGATTTTTATTCCCAATAGAAAATGCCCCGACGCAGCGCTCGATCGGTCGCGGCGGCGGCAGGGCCGTTTACGCTACCCACTGTTGAGATTTTGGAGGCGCATGAGCCATTCGGAGATTTTTTGGTTCAATTGCTTTTTTTGTGGGCGCGACAAGAAGAGGGTCAACAGCGGAAATGCAACAGTGGACAGGGTTGGCAGGGCCCAACTTGCTTGGTCGTCCATCCGTTCATATCAAACCAAATCTGGAGGTGCAGCAGAGAGGTGGTGCTGATCCAATGACGCTGTGGGAAACGGATAGGGCAGGCAGTTGAAGGAAAAAAAGGGGCCAACCAAGGACTGACACGATTGGTCTGCAGGCTTTTGTTCACTTTGAGATACAGAGGTAAAACACGGAGGAGAATAATAGGATGGTGAGACACAAGTTCACATTATCCTGATAAAACATGCTTCGTGTTCGCTACCTATAAACTATGAGCCGCCTGATATAAGTGCACCGCTGTATCTGAGTACATACTAGAATTATCAAACGACTCTGCAACTTTCTATTATAAGAAAACCATCTCACTTGCCCAACAAACCCTTCTCAAAAACACACCCCAGTCAGAAATGTCACCTCCTCCGATCCTCCTCTGCATCACCTTCTCCCGACTGCCCTTCGATTGGTCTCCCACTTGTGCCAGGCACATTCGTTGACTGCTGTGGCGGTAACCTCCTCGACACGGACCGAATAGGCAATGTTCTCCTATTCCCAATCACCACCGTCTGAGGATCCGACTGGAATAACGGATCTTGTTGTCTTTCCGGAGACAAAATTCGATCGATGTCATCAAAGTCTGCCACGGATATCGATGGAACCTCCGTGGGGGCAGACGAAAATGGGAAAGATGTCGTTGGTGCTTCCGTAGATGGAGACATGAGCTCGAGTTCCTCCGTCATTCTATCCCTTTTTGCATAGCGTTCTTCATCTTCATCGATAGTCTCACTGTCATATGGTCGTTTCTGGCCCGAGTGGACGCCGCCAGAGGTCAAACCCAGCAAGACATCCTCGTTAGGAAGTAATGGGTCCTCTCCGGATTGTCGAAGCAAGAAGTCGATCGACAGTTGGGAGGATTGCGAATTCGACTGGCTTGGATGTTGTTCAAAAGCCGGTTCGGGCTGTGATGGTGAAGGTAGTCTTGATGGTGTTTGTGAGGGGCCGGTTGCGCTTCTCCCCCTGTGATAGGTGAGGATGAGCACCATGGAAAGCGAGATTTTGCCGGGTTAAAGTCTTACCTGTTGCTGAGAGCATCAAGCTGAACTTGGACTGACGAGTTGGCGTCACTCCCATTGGGGTCCGGACTCGAAAGTCGGGGAAATGGTAGTCGTGAGTCGTTTGACATTGTGACTTGAGGCGAGTCTGTGAGATGTGATGGATATAGTCAAGAGTGGAGGTGTGGGGGAAGCTGCACACTAAATGCAGATCTGAAGGGAATCGATTGCCGAGCGGGGAGGCTCTGCATATTTATGAGGACAAAAGAGATGGGAGAAAATGTAGGTAGAAACAAAAAAAAAAAAAGACATGCAATGCATAGCAAAGAAACGAAACGGAGGGAAACCGGACGTTGCCCGAGAGACTGCAAGGCCCGCCCAGCTTGTGAGCCCTCCAGGAAGCCTGGAAATCACAGGGCTGCATCCATTTCCCCCCCTAGGTGAAAAGCATTTGGCATGCACCTAGTTGGCACGGTAGGGCATCGTGCAGCGGGTGTGTGATGCACGCAAGAGCGGGAGCGGCGCGCCGCCTAGTTGGGTGAATGCAGAAGCCATCACACAGTCACACCCGCCTCTTCAACGGCCATCAAGAATGGCCCGCTGGCCACTGGGCCCCCCTGTTGCCCATCCACCCAGTGCTACCACATGCACATGGCCCGATGGCACATCACAAAGATGGGCTTCGACACATCAGAAAAGCCGGGTAGGAGACATGCTTTGCACTGGCGCAGCACTCCAGCGGTCTTCACCTAAAGGCGAGGTCGGTCTTGATCTTCTCCATCATTCAGTTTCGGGCCATGGGCGAGATGGGATTAAATGGAAGCCTGGAGATCTTGGAGACCTCAAACGATTTGAAGGTTGAATTCGAGCCCTCCGAATTGGGCCGGGAGGTCGTTTTGTTTCCGCGAGGGCAAAGGAACCGTGGCTAAGCATCGAGCTGACTTTTCTGCGCCCTCTCCTAGAACCGATTGATCTCCAATTGCAGTGGCTTAAGCGGCTCAAGTAGAGGTTGGGGCCGCGATTATGGCCTTGAAATATGACAAATGGGGTAAAGGCGGAATTGTTGGTCTGCTATGCTCCAAATATGATAATCAAGTTCGGACTGCTGTATCTGAAGAGCCTGGTGGGAGAAAAACACAAAAGAGAACGTCGGTTGTGGCTGTGGTGTTTTGTTGGTTCTTGAACAGTTCGGGACTGGTCGATCGAGGTCGGGTTCCCTCCACGCCAAGCATTTCCATTATCAGCACGCCAAGATATTAGTCCTAGAGTGGGGTGACAGGCCCCTGAACCGAGCGGGCCGGACGGTGCACGAACAATCCGGGGCAAGCACGGTCCACCCAACCCCGGCAGGAAGAAGGTTCAACGGTGAATGCCTAGCAGAACTCGGTGTGAGCCTTTCATCGGCTGTTCTTTCCTCTTCT